CTCACTAGATGTAAACTTCCATACAGGATTCCCTTTTGCTCCTTAGATCGAATCCTTAGAATGTTAGATCACTGTTCTTTAATACTAGTGGATCTTAATTCGCTCACCTTCACAGCTCATTCTCCTCTGGTATTTTAATAGAGATTTTACACAACTCGTGCATACTTCATTGCTACCCAAGGACATTAGTTAATCAAAGAACTACTACAAAAAAGGGACACTACAAAAATTTTTCTCTGCATGTATCAGTGGTGAAGACAGGAACAGTCTCAATTGCTTTTATCTGTTGCACTGAACTCAGAAATCAAACTAGCATCTCTCTTTTTCAGTATTTTGCTATTTTCCATTAAGTGTTTGAAGAGTTTTCAAGAGTATTATCCTTGGTAAAATTTCTTAAGGATGCAGCTACTGAACAGTTAAGTTAGAGGATAATTCCTTTACAATGAATCTTCTTGTAAATCTTAGTAGTAGTTCAAGACACCAAGTGAAATCACATTGCATAATGCCAAGAATTAATGACAAAGACTCAAAGAACACCAATGAACTCGCTGCACAGCCCTCACTTCAAGTCCTTCTTTGCTATATACAGCACTTTTTTGAGTATTTGTAAAGCTGAACACTTAGTATTCACCCTTCTACTGAAGTTTTAAATAGCTCTTCTCATCACACAACTTTCTACAGTAGGGTAGTCAACTGGGTGATGACGGCAAAATAGGACATCTTGTGTTTATAGCCAAAGAATTTGTCAAATTCATTCCAATAGGAAGTTGGAAGAATGTCACACATTAAGCCCATTTTTTTTTATTACATGCAGAGTTATAAAGAAGTGGGAAGAAAACCTACAGATTTAAATCTTTACATAAAATATTCCTTAAATTCCTATTCCCCTGACAGGTAATAATTACCCATGTAAACATCTCAACAATCCAAACAACTTCAGAGAAGGAAAACCTAATTAAATTTTACTTTTAAGCAGCTTTACGCTAAGCAGAATACATCCAACTTATAATGCTATCTTATAGAAAAAAGACAACTCTAAGGCCTCTAGCCTGGACAAACTATTTTTCCCCCCTTTCCAACACATACTTGCATACATGTCTACACGTCTCATCAGCATTCTGTATTAAGAGACATGCCAGGTCCTGCATGCAAGGGTTCTGCCACTTCAAGCACTCAAAAGGGAGGAACGAGCACAGCATTACTGTCATCTCCAGTGTCCCCTTGGCAGCTACAATCCACAAACGACTCTGTCCATCATTAAGGCAGCCTAACATCCATGAAGAAAAGTCAAAAATATTGTCCTGTGTCTTCCGGTCTACATAAAAAGCTGCCTCCCACTCACCACCCCGCATGTCTCTCAGCCAGTCCAGAGAGGCCTCTTGTTTTCCCACTCCTTTTTAGACAGTGAATCTTAAAACACTCTCTTGTTAATGCATAACTCTTTTAATTCACATTGAAAGATATTTCTGTTCAGATAATCTCACAATAAATTTACTTGGATCTCTTTTCTTTTCAAGAGTTTTTTCATAAAAAAAAACCCTAACAAAGGGAAGAGGAAGCCATGGAGCACTTCTCATCTCCCAAGCAAAAGCCAAGAAAAAAGAATATGCACTCCATTTTCTTAACCCTATGTGTAAATCAGTGACTCTCATAACCAGTTTGTTTCTCTGAGTTTTCCACATTTGGGAAGAACTGATCTTTCCAGAATGAACCTAAATGAAAAAAAAGTCACGGACAAGCACGAAGGTAAGAAGAACGATCACTCCAGGCATAAAACCCCATGTTTTTACTGTCTCTTAAATAGAACAGAGATAAACTTAAGAGCAGCATCATCTTCCAAAACAGAAAATATTTTACCTTTTATAAGATGAGATTGTTTCCACACTGAAGTTGCATAACTTAGTGAAGCCCAAACTTCACAAGCTATGTACAGTACACATAAGCCTATTTACAGTGCAAATAAACCACAAATTATGCAATAAAGGGCACTGTATAATAATGGATGCATACCATCTAGCAGGATAGGGTTCACATATCTAACACACCCCTAAGTGGATTCACCAGCAGAGTATACACCCACCCTTAATATTCAGTTAAATCAGAAAGCAATACAACAGCCACCAGGTTAGACAAGACTAAGACTGCTAATCCTTGCTTTGGAGCTATACACCTGAAAATTGGTTGAGATATTTTGCAAAAAATTCAGTAAAGTATTCCATGAAGCAGTCCACAGGATCTTCTTTTAAAAAGGGGAAGAGGTAATAGGACTTTGTGTTGCTATCAATATTAAAAAACCCAACCCATAACTTGGCATTTTGCAAATCCACATTTTTCACTGCATTTTATTTCAAGAAAGTACTAAGTGGCATGCCCTTAGGGATGAGAAAAAATATATCCAGTGACGTGCAGGCTAGGCTAGAAGCTGAGGATCAGAGGTATCTGTCACAACCCCAGTCCAGTGCATCACACATCAGGGTCAGGACAGTCAGCTTCCTCTGAGTAGGATTACACTGAGTTCAGTCACAATGTGAGTATACATCACACTGACCGAACCAGCAAAGTTGCTTCCAGTTTTATATACTAATGGGGAACAAACTTGAACCATCAATCTAGTAAAGTACTAAGCATTCCTGTACAAGTCCCAAAAACGCACAGAGAGCACAAACCCCTAATTTTTTTCTTTTGAAACCTAAATATACACTAGAACTCCTATTCAATGATTTTTCATATGAAGGTATACATAAACATCTCAGTTACATTTTTTGAAGCTGAAAGTTATGGGTTAGATTCTGAGTTTATCAAACAGGCTGGGGTTTTGTTTTTGCTTGTTTTGGGTTTTTTTTGGGAGGGGGAGGGGCTTTTTTTGTTTGTTTGATTTTTGTTTTTGTCATTGACTTACCAACTCTGGACAAACAGGAACACTGTGGTCTACAAAAAGGAAGTAACCTCTGCAAAGGCCCTTCGATTGAGACCTCATAAGAGACTTCCTTCAGCCAAGACCTTCCTCCAGAGGCAGGAAACGCCTCGGACATCAACCTGACCCTTTGTTCACCACTGCTCCCTGGCCGATCTGAGGAGCGACAAAATGCCTCACAGTAGGCTGGGCACTTCTGTTGCTTCACAGATAAATGCAGTGAGGTTGTGACCAGATGATCTTTAAGGTCCATTCCAACCCCTTAACATCCTACAATTCTGTGATCTTGGAAAATCTACCACAAAAAACTTGGCCTGAAACCCCACGTCCAAGAAGGAAGAGGAGTAAATAAAGGAGTAAATAAAGGAGTAAAGCAGTTTTTGCACTGAAATCATGCCCACTAACACTGAAAGGTGTTGCTGAAGTTCAACAGACCAGACTGGTAACTAGAGTCAGAATTTACTAGAAACATTAACAATCACCATTTAAAGATACTTTTGTCTAATTAAACAGAGATTTTCTTTATTTTAGCAAAGAGGCTATCATTTTGGCTTATGACAACTCCAGAATTTCAGCTCTGCTTTAGCTGAAGATATCTAATGTATGAACAACTGAGTTTAGTCCCATTGCTCCATTTTCATCTTTGTTTTTTAAATGTGAAAATTAATTAATCACTTAGCAAGGTGAAGGAGGATTAAAAATTCAAATGTGGCCAGCATGGAGTAAGTTGCCACAACTCCCTTGAAGGGAACATTTTGATTTGGGAGACCTGGCTTGATCTCCTCTAACCACCTCCTTTTTTTTTTGCCTACATAGTCAACAGAACTTCCATGAACCATCCTGGACATACAAGTAATGTTGGCCCAATCCAAGGCATTACACACCAAACAATACCACTGGAATACAAACAGATTCCCTTTCTCACGACCACACAAAAGACAGCTTCAAAAGCCCTGGAGCACAAAATTGATTTGCTCAATTTTCCCCTAAAGTAGAAAATGAGAGAGGACTGAGGACAAGACATCTGCCAGAAACACACAGGGAGCTCTCAGCAGATAAGCATCTGTCCACATCTTTCATCCACTGTACTTGTGTGCCATGAGCCCCCATTTTTTACAAAGCAGTATTTAAGTTTCAAATAGTACAATCCACTTTATTAAATCTTATGAATATGCTACAGGTAAGACACTTTTGCCAATACTGGTATTTTATTTTTGTTTCAATTGTCTTTCAGTACTCTGCACTGCTTTTTAAGCACAAATGTTTTTAGAGGGGAATTTTATTTCATGTCTCAAACATACTTCCAGTTAGAAGGGAACCATTGCCCAAGTGATTAGATAGCAAATACTGCTGTTCAATGAGGAAGAATGAGCTAGTTGGAACATACACTGCCTTCAGGCACCAACACCTGTGAAACATGTTCAAAAGTCTGCATTTCCTGACAATTTTATTTAATCTACTCTCTCAGAATTTCGGAGCTCAATTGCTCAAATGAGTATCCTCGGTCTTCAGTTATTGGATTAAAAAAGGAGATGAGAAAAGTAACTCTTAAGATTTGTTTCTATAAATTTTAGAAACTGAATTTAGTACACAAGTGTGTGAGGAGTTGTAACATAACAGAAAGAATTTGGAATACCAAACATTAGAGATGTAAAGACCAGAGCCCTAGAAATAGAGTAATTAATAGATAACCAATAGTTATTTCAGCATTTCATTGTAAGGATTTGTAAAAGGAACAAGTAGCACCATAAAACTTGAAGCATTATTAAGGAAGTTACACCATCTTTCAGAAAATGAGGAAGCAGACAGAATTCAAACAACATGCAATATTGCATTTCTTCAACCAAGGTATATAACAATTCTTCAGTTAAAGCAATTCAACTGTACATATAAAGTGTTTAGTTGGTTAGGAAAATGTAATTTTCTATACCTAATCTAACTCTAAATATGAACACTACAAAGAACCATTTACTACATGAAATCCTTGTTTATTCTACTGACATTGGCTGAATGCTTGTTTGACCTGTAAAACAAATCAGGAAGACAAAACAGTTCAGTTTCTTTAAATTATTTTAACGCTACATACCTTTATAGTCTTAGTTTGAAGTCTCAATCCATTCAGGGTATTGATAGCTTTTTCAGCATCCTTGGGGTCAACGTAGTTCACAAAACCATAACCCAAGCTCTGTCCTGATTAAAAACATAAAAGTGTTTTACATCAATACTGCAGAGCGACACAATGAATAGCTAATTACTTATAACCTATAGACACACACTGAGCAAATATTGCTTATATTGAAGAACAACTCCCACTCCAAAGCATCACAACCTCTAATTTTTCTACTAACACTGGTAGATTTCAAACACCTTCCTCTGTTGTTGTGATCAACATAAAAATTACTACATTCAAATTTAATGCAAGACTTAAAACTGATATGCCTACTGAACCTACTAAGGTTCAGAAGTCCACTATGATCTGTTTGACACTAGAGAATGTGCAGAAGCATCAAGTTTAAAGTGACATCAGGAATCCACTACTTACTCTTGAAGTTTTTTATAGAACAGAGGAAGTATAGTGGCAAAATTCTGGACTGCTTGAAAATGAAGTACATTTGAAAGTCACTCAATGTCAGAATTTGAGCCAAATAAGAAGCCAAAAAAATTTACAGATATTATTCATACACTACATAGAGCCTTTCAGTAACAAGGAGTTTAAGGGCTCACTTTGTTCCAACATTCAAAACAAAAGGTACAAGTACCTGATCAAGAAATAACTATCAGCAAAAGGTGCAGTATTATTGTCAGGGTTTTTTAGTGCTGGAAATTCCGATGACAGATGGACATAAAGCATTTTTCATTAGTTCTTATCTCTAAACAACAGCCCCTTTTCTAATCATTAATTTTGCCTAAACACTTACTACACACTTGAGTTTAGCAGTAGTCCTCTTTTGACAACTTCAAAACCTACAGTACACTATCCCTAACTAGCATCCTACTTTAGAAGTACTTTCAGTGCATAAGAATGCAAATAGGTGGAAAATTTTAACATAGTGAAAAGATATACTTCGCAATAATACTATCCTTTATTAGCATAAATCTTTCCAGCTCCCATACACTGAGGTGGTTTTAATTTGTTGGTTTGAGATTTTTGGGTTTAAGACAGCAAAACAAGATAAAATAAAATTGTCAACAAGCCAGAAGGAAGCATCCAACATATCTAATTCACAAAATGCTAGTTAGAATGATTAGCTTGGGTACACAACATTACATAAAGCACAAATGGCATATTCATTCATTGTCCAAAAAAGATATAATAGAATTCATGCTTTATCAAATTCTTGTATGGTATCTATACAGTATGCATTTAAAAGTAATGCAAAAAAACAGCAGGAAATTTTGCATTTAATTAAATACCATAAGAGGGTTTACTAACTAGTCATTAGTTAGTAATGCCATCACTGGCATTTACAATTTTGCACCTATTATGCCTACCATGGCACCAAAGGTCAGAGGACACCACCCCCCCACTCCCCAAAACTACTTGCATTCTCTCATATCTCCTCCTCAAAGCACCTCAGGCAAACATAAATTGTCTAGATGGATCTGTGAACAGGTTAATACACACATTAACAGAGAATCCAAACCCCAACAAGACAGAAGACTGAGCACCTGCTCTAGAGAACCCTGTTCTGAGCAGGAGGTTAGACTCCATGATCGTCATGCCTTTAGCCTCAGCAGTTGTCATGTTTCTGTAACAAACCATACGGAAACACCCAAAAGCATTTATCTATTCATTTACAGCTCTGCCTAGATACTGCTACATTTCTAATCCTAGAAGCCTTTTTACTCATTAGTTTGATTACAGTAGAGCAATTTTTGTACCTGTCACCTCCATCACTCCCACTGTGTCTGCATTGTCTGCAGAAACTCTTCCCAACAGCATCTTAGGAAAGAGGAATCTTTCTTTTTGTACATTCATTTTATGTGATGTGTTATCTACTAATACAGAAATGCTGATTTCAGGTATTTTGTTATTAATCTCCTGAGGAGCCCTCTTAAATGACAACTTTAAAAGATGTTAAAATCTCAAAGTGAAAGAAAGGTATTTCATACAGGATGTTCCCAATACAACACTAATTTCAGATGTAACAGAAAAAGATGGGAAAAAATTATTTCTCTTGTCCCTCTCTGTTGATGTGTTCTGCTTTACACATAAAAAACACCCAAATTGCTACAGATAACGAGCTTACCTAGCTGTTACAAAGGATTCAATTCATGACCATTCTTTTGGAGACACTCTGTTAGTTGAATTTGATAAATACTAGGACAGTAGCCTTGGAAGGTGCACCAAAAAAACACAGTAATTTATTCAGAACAAGTCTGAAATACTTTATGGAGTTTTATTCTATGATTTTACAATTAAAGAAAAGCTTTCACCGTGAGAATGGTAGAACACTGAAACAGACAACCTGAGGGGCTGTAAAGTCTCCACTCCTGAAGAGGCTAAATGGATATGGACCTGAGCAACTTGCTGAAGGAAAATCTGCTTGAGAAACACAAAATGACTATTATCTCCAGAAGTTCTTTTCACCCTAAGTGAATCTGTAAATGGGATTCTATTTACTTCAGTTTTGTTTTACTCAGGTTATCACCTAAAATTCCAAAGTGTTCTCTAAAATCCTCATTTATTTAGAAAGGTTAAGAAAATGCAAAACTTAAACATTAAAATTTTGCCTGAAGATTAGTGGTTTAATTAAACATTAGCAATAATTGAGAGCCAAAAATCACCATCTTCAACAGCACACAAGAAAGATAAATATTGACTTTGAACAAGCAATGCAAATAATTGTAAATCAAACCTGATTTCTGGAATCAGCGTTTGAGGAACCACATTTACATCTTCCTGCTTATATTAACCTCTTGTTAAGTGGTTGTCAGTTCACAGACAGATGGCTGAGCTCCAGAAAATTCAGACAAGCATTAATAAAATGCAGTGGAAGCAGTTATTCCAAACACTACATTGGATATCTCATTCCCAGCTATGTCTGACAGGTGGTGGGAAAATACTAAGTGGGTTACAAGGAAGAACTGCATTTCTAAGTGACAAGAACTTCATTTATTCAAGTACCACTATGGCAGCAACTACTAAAGAGAAGTCTCATCTTTTTGTGGATCTCAGACAGAGAGACCACCACATCCACCATGCACAAATTTTACTCAAATAAAATTAGAGGCAACTGGCCAGGGTAACTCAAACTAGTTCTCCTTCTGTGCAGTTTTTTCCTCATTCCTCAATGTCCAAACATTTGCTTTCAAGATAAAAGGAGGAGAGGCTAGATTTAAACCAAATCAGCCACCACTTAGGATGTTTTAGAGGAACTTCAGTATTTAATGAACGTTATAAGTAGCTATTTGCCTGACAATAAGAACTGGACTGAACAATGACAAAACTGGACTCTTTCATCTGTACTTCTTCCACACCAAACTCCATTTGCCAAGACAGCAATGTCCTGCAGAACACACATTTGCTTAAAAAAAGATTATGTGTCTGAATCTGTAAAAAAGTGACAGAACAAAGAAGGTAAATCTATAGCTACCCATAAGTTAAACAACCCCCACACTTGAATGTGTATCAAAAAGCTGCTTAGTCTCCTACTAAGACAGAGTCAACTCCACTAGGCTCTTGCCTTGGCTTTGTGCTCCCAATTTGTGATTCATGATGCTGTCTGAAAAAACTCTAACACCTCTCTAAGTCGGCTCTCCTGGTGCTCTGTCTGATACTATGTGTTTAGCTATTTTGAATAACCAGTTTTACTTTTTGAGGATCTTTGAAATTAAGGCCTACTCAGCCTTAACAGACAAGAGACTACCTGTGTCATTAGTTCTTTAGCTCATAACTCAGATCTACAAGTATTATTAAATTTAGATTATCCTAAATAAAGGAATGCAAAGAGTTTCTTATTTAGCTATCAGTTGACCTTAATCTGCTGGACAGTCCGTGTGGGTACTTCACAAACCTGCTTAAAGATGTTTCTGTAAACTTCCTGCTAGATTTTATGCTTTCGACACTAAGAATATTAGACAACATAGTGCAGAAAAATCCTAATGGCTAGTTAAATGATTGGTAAAAGTCACCTGGGTTAGGAAAAGTAAAAATGATTAAATGATTGGAAAGGAACGAGGAAATAAATGGGGAAAAGCAGTCTGACTTGAACTTCCTTCACAAAAATCTGAAATACCAAAAGCCACATAGTAGAAATAGTGCATCTCACATGCCTCTAAGACAGCAAAGAGGTTAGAATAAAAGCTATGATTTGAAAGTTCACAATGGAGGCTCACAATTATTACTAATGTTTTATGTAGCAGACACTTGTAACAATGTCAAATTCAAGCACAAGTGGCAAAAAAATTTTCAGTTAGGCATTTCATTGAACCTAGACATACTATATCCATTAGTGATTGACAAATGTTTAGTCTTTGTGGCCTACAAGAAAAAGTGCAGAAAGCGCTATGCTATTCAGTTCAACAGGGGAAACCGTTCAATTTTTATTGCATGTTTTTGGGCTTCATAAATATGACTTGATCAACATGCATGATGCCGCAAATTAAACAGTAATTAATTAGATAATGCCAAGTTGCTTTTTGGCATTATAGTCAATAGACAGAATGGATTTTGAGAGGGGAAGGGCAAAAAGTTATTTCAAACAATTTAATTCTAATCAGACTAATGATAATGAGACTGCTCAAGAGACTGATTGGACATTCAAGTGTACATCAGAAAAGCATAAAGGAAGTAATTATTACCATTAAAAAACAAGTAATGAACACACTAATTCAGTATTTAGGAAAGCAGACAGACTTCACAAGCACCTATCACCGAAAGACCAAAAAAGTTTCAAGTTGAAGTAACTAAATAGGAAATCATAGCTATGGTCACAGTGCTCCTGCATTTACTATTGTGCCTTGAAAGATGACTTTTTTAGCTTCAAAAATACACAGACTAATTCACAATACTTATCAGGGAAGAAACACAAATGAACTAGTTGTATTCTACCCAAGTTGTTTCATAAATATTTCCTATAAACTATAAATAATGCACGCAGCTGTAAAAGCCCAAAGAAAATCCTCTGCTTCAGAACAAATAGATGTTATCCAGAGAGAAAAGAGGTCATGTAAAGTAGATGTGATAG